AATTCTGGAAATGTTCTTTGAAATATTCTTTTGGGGGCAACGCTGAGAGAGCGTTGGGCTGTGGCAAGGAGCTTCCTTTTCCGGAAGAGATTGGCTTTTGGCACAACTGTCCCAGAGGCCCTTCCCAGTCAAGAATCAGGGGCTGCCAAGAGCAGGGACTCCAGGTCCTTGCCGGACCTTCCTTGGAAAATCCACAGAGATACTAATCTCCGGCTTCGTTTCTGCCAGGGAAGCCCAAGGAGGAAAACTCACCGAGGGGACATAAGAGAAAGAGGCGGCTAGCAGCCAAACCAGCCCATGGTCTTCTCCTCCTCCTCCTGCCTGGTGGCCCGAAGGGGTTCAGCAACCCTTTGACCCACCTCAGCCCAGAGCTTGGGAAAGTGATGCCTCTGGACGACGGTTCCCACAATCCCCCAGCCAGAAAGTCAAGGGCCAGAGGACCCCTAGCCGGTGCCCTCTGGGTGGACTGGACTACAGCTCCCACAATCCCACAGCCGGTGTTCTGTGAGTTGGGCCCCAAAGCACTTGGAGGGTGCCAGCGTGGGGGAGGCCATCCTAAAGCTATCACAGGGGCTGGGGGAACCGCTGTCCATCCATCCGTCCATCCCTCCGGCAGGCAGGCAGGCAGCTTATGTCAAGCGGAGGCTTAAGGAAACAGCCACTTAAGGAAGCAACTTCCCCGAAGCCCCTGACCGTAAGGGCTGTAGGGGGTGGCGGTGCGACCGAGGCCCGGGGCCTCGAAAAACAGACCGAGGCCAAAAAGGAGTCTCCTCCAGAGCCTGCCAGGGCAGCTATTTCTGGGTCCCTCTTTCGCAGAGCCAGCCGGCCGGCAGCTGCGAGGCTTTTAATAGCAAACAGCCGGCTGGCCGAGTGCAGGCTCTGTGACCGCCCCTCCTCCTCCTCAGCCATCGCCGGGGGGGGGAGCAAAGGACAAAAGTGTGGCCTCCTGTTGAGGGGGCAGAAGAGGGGCACTCAGCTGCTGGGGTTTCACCCCCCCATCTCAAAACTTCTCCGATTAATGAGATAGGTGAGCAAGCCCTGTTCCACCAGAGCCCTCTTCCCCTATCACGCTCGCTGGCAATTTCCCCCAAACTCCCAAGCATTGCCATGGGGTCTGCTTGAAGGTGGTTCTTCCCCCCCTCATGCCCCCCCCCGGGAGAACCTCACTTATCTCCGCAGGGAACAGGTTCAGAGCTTTTAGTAGAAATTGCAGCAATTCCGTCTTGCCAGTTGACATTCGGATGGAATGAGATGTCTCCCCCCCTCCCCCATGGCCGGGGAGCCCCTGGAGCACAGCGCTTTGGCCGGCCAGAGGCTCGCCCTCCGGCTTCCCCCTCGTGCCCCAGGGCTTCCATCGCCCTTCCCACACCTCCTTTTCAAAAGCGTTCCCAAGAGCGCAGGCAAGCCGTGGAGAGATATAACTCGGGTGTGCTCTTCCTACTATCCAAAGCTAGAGAGGCTTCTAAAACAACCAGAGTGGAGTTCATAGAAGAGCCTCTGAAGTTCGGGACTCTGGCGGGCATGCCCATCGGCCGCCGTTTGGAGAGGTTGTTTTTTAACGACCACTCCCAGATCCCCAAGTGAACCCAAGACACTTTTTATGCTTGCCAAGAGGAGCTTTCTCAAGACCCCGATGCCCGCGTGCAGACAAGCCTTCGCAGGCCACTGGTAGCCACTGCCGGCTGCCCTCAGATTCTGCTGCAGCTGCTCCAGATTCTTTTACAACACGGGCAAAGCAAAGGGCAGGGACCCTTCTGACGCATCTCCATCCTTCAAAGACTGGGCCTTCCCAAGGTGGCAGGCCAGCCGGAGGCTGTTTCTCCGGAGCTGCCGCTCAGCCGTCAGCAGCCCGGGACTGACACAGGCGCTCATGAACGCCACTGCTATTCACAGCTCCCGTCCTCCCCCACCCTCAGCAAAAAAGAAAGGGGAGGGGGGGCTGCAGGCCTGCGGCGCTCTCTGCCAAACAGCTCGGGATTGCTTATGAAACCAGGAGCGATGACTAAAATTGGGAAAGGCTCTGAAACACAAACACACCGAGGGAAGCATGTACTGAAAAGGAAGCAAAAGAGGAGGCGGGAAGCGCGCCTGCCCTGCACACACACACACACACCCCGCAAGCTCAGCTCCCCCATGGAAGAGACTCACACCCACAGATCAGCCTGCTAATAACCGTCCCTCCTCTCCACCCGTGTTATCTTGACTGTTAGGAAGGAGGGCTAATTCTAGCCCCCTGCCCCCTCCCAAACAAGCCTCCCCACCTATCTGGACTAGCAAGAGAGGGAGGGGGCAGAGGAGGGGGGGGCTCTAGTCACCGACAGCAAAGAGGGATGGAAGGAAGAGAATAATGCCCCCCCCGGCACACACTGGGTGTGAGCAAGACAGGGGAGAAGCAACGGGAGCCACCAACCAGGTGCACCTCGCCCTGCGTGCAGACAGACAGCCGGGGAAACCCGAAAAGAGGGCGGCCAGCGACCCCAGGCCACCATCTCACCTTCTTCTCCATACTGGTCATACACAGCCCGTTTCTTGGGGTCGCTCAGGACGTCGTAGGCCTCAGCAATCTCCTTAAACTTCTCCTCCGCATTGGGATCCTTGTTCTTATCAGGATGATACTTCAGGGCCATTTTTCGGTAGGCCTTCTTGATCTCATCTTCGTTGGCTCCCGACTGAATCCCCAGGGCACTATAATAGTCCTTCCCCATGGTGGAGACGGTCCCAGCCGCTGCTGCTGACTCTTTATTCCTGGAAGCGCGGAGAGAAGGAAGAGAAAGAGGGAAACGGGGAGGAGGGGAGAGGTCAGGAAAGTGGCTTTCCAAGAGGTCCAGGAAGGGGTGGGAAGCCGAGCACCGGCATCAATTCGCCTGCAAAGTTGTTCGCTACCTCTGCTCATACCTGAGCTACTCAAGGATGTCAAGGGCAAAGTCTCTGCCCGCCCGCCCCCCCTGCGCCCGCCCGCCTGCTCGAATCCCCCGGGCTCCAGGGCTGGCAAGGCCAAAGGCAAGTTGGTTTTAAGGAGCTTTACTCACCTTTTCTCGGCAAGATTTACAGGGGCAAATTGCACAGCCAGAGAGGGAAGGCTGTGTTGTTATTTGGAGGGCCCCATGTGACGCCCTGTAACCAGAGAGGGAGGGCCGGGCTGCCCGCCTGCCCCTGTGCCAGGGAGGAGGCTTGGGAAAAGAGAGAGCCCGCCGGCAGGCAATCCTTGGACCAGCCAGAGGAAACGCAGCTGCTTGGCTTACATTTCACCTGGACGGAGGGTGGGTGGCTGGGGTCCCTCTCAACCTCAGCCCCTTTCATTGGGGGGGGGCAGGGAGCAGCCCGAGGTGCAGGCAGGGAGGACGTGCGCACCAGCCCTCTTCATGTAGGGCAAAATGAGAGGTTAATTAGCGAGGGAGAAGGCTTTCTCCCTCCCCCACGCTCTCTCGGCTCTGCCTTCCCCTTCATGCTTTTTGCAGATTGCCTTAAAAGAACTTTTTGAACAATACAGCGCGGGGAGTTCACGCGGGGACACGTTCCCATCATGTACCAGCAGAAAGACGGCAGAGGATGGAGCTGTTAGACGGGAGACATCTTGCCTTGCTTTGCCTGCCTTGCAATGGTGGGAGGCTATTTTTAAAGCGCTCGCTCGCCCGCCCGGCTTAAAGGAGGCTGCAAACCACAGGGAAATGCTGCAGCACCCTGGAAATGGCCTCTGACCACAAATATGGGGGGCGGAGGGGGTTGGGGTGTGTGAATGGAATCACTAGCAAGCAGGCAGATGACTCACCCCTTCCTCCGAGAGGTTTGACTAACCTCCGTTCCTGATCCCTCGGTCACGACCCAAAAATAGAACTTGCCCAGACCCTCTCCAGAGCAAGCGTAGGGCCGCCCACCCCCTTGCATCTCTGGACAACGACAGAGTGGGGCAGGGCCCAGGGATTCACCTTCTGGGAGGGGGCATCTCCAAGGTCGGGGACCGGCTCCCTCCGCCGAAGGAGACCATCTCGGCTCACGTCCCAGTAGAGCTTTCGGGACCTCCTGGGCCTTTTCCCAGAACTTCCTGGGCCTCCAACATCCTTCCACGAACCACCTGCTGCCACCGCCACCACCCTGTCCTCACAAGCCACGTGGAGGAACCGGGGCGGCCCACATCCGATCCCACACCCAGAAGACAAAACAAAGGGGCCGGGCCGGCCACTGCCCATCTGGGCCAAGAGCAGGAGGACCGCAGAGCCCTCCCCTTCGTACAGAGTCTTTGGGGTTCACACCAGAACCACGCGGGGTAGGGTGGGGGAGCTGCTTTGGCCCCGGACGGCTCCTTGTTCCTCCCAGCCTGGTCTTTGGGAGTCTCAGCTCCCAGATTCTCAGCGGCTGTCCAGGGTTCAAGGCGGGATTCTCTCCCAGCGCTCCCTGGTGGCCTCTCGTATTTCCGGGGCCAGCTTCCCACACAGGGACGAGCCAGCAGAGGCCCTGCTTCGCTCTGGAAAGCAGACACCGCCAAGGACAGGCAGGCGGGCGAGAGCGTGCAGGACGGACAAAGCCAGACCTCTGTGAAGGGCAGCGGGTTGAGGCCCCCACCCAGCACTACCCCAAGGCTGACACACAAAAGCTGGCACAACCTTCTCCAAGCCCTCAGCCCCCCCCCCAGCTGCTGCTGCCCCCGCTGTGCCTTGCAGGTGTCGTCACACGCCACCCACGCTTTGGCGAGGCTGCGTGGTGTGCCGGGGAGGGTGTGAGAGCGGGAGCGTTGCCGACACTGAAGTGGCCATGACCTGCGTGAATGAGTGAGATCACCCCCTGGAAATAAGAATCCAGCAGCGGGGGGGGGCGCCGGAACCAGCAGCGCCACTTGGGCACCTCAGCCCCCTCCCACCCACCCAGCCCGAGCACAGTGGGAGTTCTGCTGTGAGACACACAACTGGCAAATCCAGAACACAACACACAAGGAGGTGGGCTCTCAATGCTTGAAAGAGGAGACCCCCCCCCTCGCCCTCCCGGGGGCACGCCGCTGGTGACTGCAGCAGATGCCAAGAACCTACAGCGTTCAATGGGGGGGGGCAAGAGCAGCTGCCACGTTTCCTTTGAACGCCTGTGGTGGGGTGCGACAAGGCCAGCCCCATTTGCGTCAACAATCCCCAGGGGGGGTTTGGGGGGCAGTGGGAGCCTTGGGAGTGGCACTCCGCGCCCTCGGCATCATCTCAAAGAAACCAGGGCGTACACCGGGTTAGCGGAGGAAGAAAGCCGATGCGAACGGAAAGGCAAGCCACCCCCTAACAGAGAGAGAACGGGAGCAAGAGGACAGGCGTCTGGGCTGTGCCCTCCCTTTGTTCTTGAAGGGCAAGCATCCCGGAGGGAGGGAGGGAGGGAGAGGGAGCCCAGCGTGGATAGATGGGGGTGTCTTTCGGAAGCCCGCTCGTCCCCCCCGCCCGCCCTCCCCGGCACCAGGCAGAGGAAAAGAAGGAGCGAGAAGAGCGTGCGTGCGTGCGTGCGTGGAAGCAGCCACGCTGTGCTGCCACCCCTGCTTAGGCACCCGAAGAGCAGGGAGATTTTCCCCGGTGTGGGGGCTGCTGCCTGACGTCAGCCTGCAGGGAAGGCTGCCAAGCCGTGTAGGTCACCCGGCGGGCTTACCGTCCTCTCCGAAAGGCACCCCCACACAGATTTTGGTAAAACACGACTCGGTCCCGCATCATCCCTGCCACCCACCGGGAGCCAGCTGTGCGGTGGCACAGAAAACACATGGCGACAGCCCGGCCCCGGTGTGCTTTCGAGAACCCTCTTGTGGGCTCAGGTTGGGGGGGAGAGATGTCCTCCCCCCACCCCACTGCCTTCACCTACAAAAGCTACCTATACACACACACACACACACACCCCAACAAACCCAGACCCCTGGCCCTTGCCAGCATCCTCTCCTTCCACAGAGGAAG